GCATAAGCAACTTGGCCAATGGCAAAGGATGCTAGAAATGAAAATTTATCAACATCTGGAGACTTCTACTATGTCTCCTGAGAATTTATAGGATGATTCATAGGTAAAGTTCATTAACAGGAGAAGAGTAACTAGGTATTGGCAAGGATATCTATGAATCATATACCAATGATTCCCTGACCTACTACAAAAATGTCTTTATAGTTCTATAAAGCGAAAAAAATGCATATAGCTAAACTTCATTTTAATGAATTAATAGAGAAGTGCATAAATCTTAGAACTGTTTATTTACTTAACAAACATATGTCTATTAAATATGAAAGTGTATATAAACTGAATAAATATCATTTCCATGATGACATAATTGCAGAAATGATACAAATCTGTCACTTGCAACAGTTTTCATCAATTGTGCAATGATGTCAGGCAAATTGTCCAAATCAATGCAAATGATGTTATTACATAATTGATCTAAATTGCCATGCACATTTGGTGCTTTAAATGTAAAGAAAGGTAAATCAAGATTTCACTGTACTTTCATTCACTAGGCAACAGAGGGATATTACAAAATGTCTGAAAAAATGAGGTGAAACAAGTAAGTGTGAAAGGAGAGCCTGTTGGTGGAAGATCAAAAAGTCAAAGGTAGCCATGAATGTGCAATTCAAGGCATTATTCTCTCCCCCCTACTTTTTAAAAATGTGTATGATTAATACTAGAAGGGTTAGTGAGAAAATCGTTTCTATTTGCTATGTTAAACATATTAATATAAATGTTTAAATTGTCCAATCTATGGTGTGGAGAAATATGCCCTTTGAACTTAACATGTCAGAATAATTTTTAAAAACAAATGTTAACATATTAAATATCCATGACTCACTTAGTGATTCTCATACTTGTAATTTGTAATCCAAAAAAAGCAGAGTGTACCTATTTTTCTCAAATCAATGATTAAATCAATCAAAAATGATCATTAAAGTGAATGTTTGAGTTCCCCTTTAGGTAAAAGTTTTAAAACCACTACTTTTGGGGTAGGGTTGCACTTATGACCAAGTTATACATTTTGATACTATCCATAGAGTGAATTTATTTATTTATTTATTTATTTGATTTGCCAATTGTTTACAAGATAATAAGTATAAGCGTATACATAGTTGTGAATACATGAATGAATGACTAAAAGAGAGAGAGAGAAAAAAGAGATGTCTACTTAAAACTAGTAACCAAAATCTGGTTGTTAAGCAACAGAACCACTGTTTGCCTAGTCTGCCATTTAAAGTGATGAAGTAATTACAGATACAGATAATCAGAGTTGGAAGGGACCTTGTAGGTCATCTAGTCCAACCTCCCACCCAAGCGGAAGACCCTACACCATTTCTGACAGATGGCAGTCCAATCTCTTCTTGAAAGTCTCAAGTGATGGCGCTCCCACAACTTCTGAGGGCAAGCTGTTCCATTGGTTGATTGTTCTCACTGTCAGAAAGTTTCTCCTTATCCCAGGTTAAATCTCTCCTTGTTCAGTTTCCATCCATTATTCCTTGTCTGGCCTACAGGCCCTTTAGAAAAGAGCTTGACCCCTTCTTCCCTGTGGCAGCCCCTCAAATATTGGAAGACCGCTATCATGTCTCCCTCTTTACTAGACTAGCCAAGCCCAGTTCCTGCAACCGTTTGTTGTATGTTTTAGTCTCCAGTCCCCTAATCATCCTGGTTGCTCCTCTCTGTACTTTTTCTAGAGTCTCAACATCTTTTTTATAATGTGGTGACCAAAACTGGATGCAGTAATTACATCGGTTATCATTTTATCCTGAGGTTATCAATACACATACACATCATTAAACTCACAGAGTCACAGAGTCTCTAGAAGTGTTCCCAATCCCTATAAAATGAAAGTTACAAATGGATATGTCAGCATTTCTACAGGATACTTCTCAAAAGTAATCAAATTTAATAAGAATGTTACATTTTGTTAATGTTACATTTTGTTAATATTTTATAAGATCCAACAGAAATCACGACATTTCAGTGCTATAGTGGGACGGTATCTAAACTATTTTGCAAAGAAACATAAAAGCCAAAATTAGGATGGATACTTAAAAAAATTATAAAATATAGCTAAAAAGAAAGCAACAGAAATTCTCTGAAGTTGACAGCCATGCTTTAAATTCAAGTGAGATTTGGAAAGAAATGGAAGGGGAAAAAATCAGGAATATTGGATTTAATTTCTCAGACGAAGAGGGATATATAATCTAGCCAATAGAAATATACTCACAAACCTGTACTTTACACAAGTACACAATGATAGTAAATATTGAATACAATCTTTGATAGGGAGTAAAAAGAATTTATACTGAGGAGCCAAAGTTGGGGAAAGTTCTAGAAATTCACACTGAAAGTCTGAATACATTCTGAATAAGTCTATATGAAGAATCCTACCTCTTGGAAAATGTTTAATACTAACTCAGTGGGACAAAAAGACTCCAAAGTTCATCATTATTAAATAGCTACAGCATCATTTTATGAAAGACTATGCTATTGGTGTATTCTTCAACTGTTGGCTCATTTGATATTACGCCATTAATGGCAAATAAGCTAGTTTTGAGACCAGACTTGGTAGCTAGACAAATTATGTTGAGGGTTACTTAAACAAATGGTTACTTACATACACCAAGAAATGGCAGTATTGTGTAATGTTTTGATTTCCATCACTCCCCCTCAGCCATATAGTGTTTAATTTAGAAATAACTTCTTAGTCTAGAAATTACATTTCTCTAATATTCTGGTTCTTGAAACCATTTTTTTTACAATGTGAAGTAGCAGAATTGCACTATTGAAATTGTTCCAGTGATGTGCTTCTGGAAGTATAAATTCAAATATTATTTCCTGCTTCCATAAAATTCCTGCTTCCATGAAACCCTATTTACAAAAAGAATAATATGTACTTCAAAAGAAAAAAAAGAAAACTTAAAAGTGACAGAGGATCAAAGGCATATTTAAATAAATATTTAGCGAAAAGTACAAAAAAGAGGAATAAACCAAAAAATATACTGATGAAAATTTTTAAATAATCGAGTGTATTCACAAATGAAAAAAATGATGAAGAACTTTACACTAAAAAGGGATATAGGAGGAAAACCACCTTCCAATATATTTGGAAACAGTGGGAAACCAGATTTCTGTTTCATCAGTGAAGACCACATTTTTAAATTTTAAATTGCAGGTTAGGTCAAATTAACAGCAATTATGCTGTTAAAGCTAGCAAATAAACCGCATGACTATAGCTCACTATTAGGGATGGTGCAAAAAATGTGAAGAAAAGTGCTCAAAATGGTAATGTTTCTTGTTAAAAGTATCTCCCTTTATTCTGAACCTGGTTGAATATCTGCTGAGCTTGGCCTAATTCAAAATGGTGTCGGTAGCCCATCCCTGCCACCATCTTGTTCTTTCTGGCAGCCTTCCTCACATTTCTCAGGCAACTTGATAAATAGATTTTTTTTGCTGTTTTCTTAAATATTAAATAGTAAAGTACCATCTCTGATGTTCTTGAGTAATGAATACATATTCCCCCAAAGATGAATTGATTATTTCAGGGATGTATATAGTACAACTGAATACATTCAGTGGATAGTAATAGACAAAGCATGGATTCATGAAGTACAGAAGTTTAAATTGAAATTTTTTTAAAAGATTCTGAGCACTTGAATTGTCGCCCTTGCTACTTGCTGGATATATTAATTTTTCTGTAAAATCCATCATGCAGTTTTCTGTGCACCCACACAAATTTCCTAATCGTGATCTCAGCAGAATTTTAACACTTTCATTTAAATCTGATTTGGGCCTTACAGAAAGTCTAAGAAATTCAGCACAGGGGTTGGTATGTGTGTAATGAGGGAAGTCAAGAAGTTCATCAAGACATTATTTGAAATATGACATTTTACCTCACACCTACTTGGGAACAAAATGTTGAAATTTATATTAGGATAGACAGACTCACTGAAGTAGTGAGAAGGACAAGGAAAGCGTGATACAAAATGGTGGATTATAGCAAATGCACAGTAATATGAGAAGAGTAATTACTGAAGTAAAAGACAACCTTGCAAAACATCAAGAACTGAGAAATACTGTTTGCTCTTAGGGTTATAAAGATTTCATCTAGGAGACAATGGGTTTTCTAGCGAATAGATTATTGGCAAAATTGCAAACAAAAAAGAGAGGTTCTGCATTTGCAAAGAAGATCTTTTCCCCCCAACTAAAGCAAGCCCTCCTAAGAATGAGAGAAACTAGAATCAAAATCTATCCTCAATATTACTATTACAATGGGAAACAGGGAATCTAGAAAGAATTAATGAAATATTCCATGTTTCACAGTTTGCAAAAGCAGTTGTTGAAGCTCTACATCCAACATGTGCTTTTCGAAAGCAGAGCTAAGATATCTTTCTGTGTGTTGTCCTGAAAAATTGTTATTAGCAGAACAAAAGTTTTGTTAACAGTACAATGTTTACAAAAATGCAATTGCTTATTGATGGAATTTTTTATTTTCAGAGAAACAAAGTCTGTTGTTTTGGACAACAGAGGCCTAAATTAAGCTTGACATAAAGAGGCCAGATTTATCAACACAAATCAAAGACACTAAATTCCATTCCATGTCATTCTTGCATGGCAAATGGCTTAAAGTTTGCTGTAGTGTAGTCCATCAAAGTTTGTATCAGTAGCAACCGGAGAATGGTTTTTGATTGTGAAAGGAAAAATTAAGCAAAGTGGGTATTTTGAAAATTTCACCCACTTTTCTTATTTCTGAAAAACATTGTCTATAGATTTCCCCCAATAAAAAAAAATAATGATTTCACATAACAAACCTTGAAGAATATCACAAAACAACCTAATACCCCAAATGATCTTGGTGAACCCTAAAATTGTGTCAGCGAAACAAAAAGAAAATTTGAACAAGTAATAAATCATCATTTAAATGATAGGTACAGAACAGATTACAAATAGTTAACACTTACAAAATACTGAGATGAGGATAACATGGCCGAATTCTCCCTCTTCTTGAAGACAGCATATAAAATTCCCCCAATCATTCCTCCAAAGAGCTACTTATTTCTCTATCCCTTTGTTAGCTCTATCAAAATTTACGTCCCCAGAAAGGGGCATTTCTTGCAATGTCTTTCAGCCTTGCAAAACTAGACAATCTTAGCAGGGGCTGCCATGTTGAATTGCAAGTCTGATATGATTCAACAATTTTCTTTCCCTTGCGTAGGGTGGCAAAAATCCAAAAAAAAAAAACACCACACACCAAAAACCTTAGCTTCCAATTACCCAGAATCAAAGTATTTTGAAAAATAAAAATAAAATCCTAATTAACAGTCAGGAGAAATAATAAATAATAAAGCCCACCAAGTTGGGTTGGTTTAAACAAATGGAATATTTTAACATAAAAAAGCGAGAAGAATGGAGGAGGAAAGAAAGGATGTAGGAGTAGCAAGTGCCAAGCACTTGGACAAATAAAATGACATTTTAAAATATTTTCAAAAGAGCTACATTTGATTTCGTACCAGAAAAAGATGTGCCGGGAAGGAGAAAGATTTTTCTGCTCAGTAGCCGCTGGCTTTAACTTCGATGATCTGGACAATCATAAGGAATGGTTTCTCTTTTCAAGAAAGGCCAGTTTCAGTGAAACAGTCCCCCCCCCCATGCGTTCCCTTTTCCTTCTCAGAGCAGTTCAGCGCCAAGAAATGGGCGGTGCCTGCATGCCAGGCTTCATCCGAATGAGATGCCAAGGCTGACAAGAGGCTGGCATAAAGAGAAGCTGGCACAAATTCCTCCACTTGGAACTCCACTTCAATATACCCTTCAAATAGTCTCCCTTTATTAGCAAACTGGAAAAAAAAATATCCATGGAACCCACCCCCTCCCAAGCTCCCAATCTCTAAAGTTTCTCAGTCTCTATTGAGAACCATTTCCAAAGCATAATTTCCATCCAATACCTATTCTTTCAACCCATGCCAGTTCAAACAAGAAGCTCATTCTCTCTTCTCTCTGTGTTAGCAGCCTAAGATATGTACATAAAATAAATGTTGACTTCTACTTTCCTAACTTGAGATGTTGGAGGCGGCAAGCTCCTTTAAAACACAGCCAAAGAAGATGAAAGACAAAATGAAACAAAAAGAAAACAAACACAAAACAACCCTCTTATGTTATACAAGAAGCAGTTTCATTTTGCGAAATGTTTCTTTTGTCGGCGGCAAAAATGGAGTTAAGAGGCATAAATGGAGATGAGGATGGTTTAAAAACAAATCAAAGCAAGCAAACAAACTACCGGGATATGCCAGAAGAGGACACCCTCCCTCCAGCTCCCATTTTCCATTTTTTTCTGTGCCAGCCTTAGAGAGAGAGAGAGAAAGAGAAGAAATTTAAAAAAAAGAAAGCGAGCAAGCGAGCGAGCGAAAGGGGCACTGAATAGCTGCTCGTTCAGAAATGGGCCTACAGCCATTTCCACTTTGGAAGCCTCAGCAGTCGTTCTTTCTCTCTCTCTCTCTCTGTCTCACTCTCCCTCTCCCCACATTCTCCCTGCCCACTCTGGCTTAGCTGCCAAGTCAGAGTTGGCACTGCTTCCCAGGCAGCACGGAACAAAGCCATTTCCCATCCCTGTACAGGCAACTGTCAATAAGCAAAGTGACAGTCACATCTCCTGCATGTTAATCTTAATGGACAGGAGATGTTTGCAAGAGAATAAAAAGCCCCTTCGTCCCTCCAAAGCCGTACAATAAAATCATTTTTTTAAAAAAAATTAAAGGAAAAAGCCTTCTTTGTCGACCCTATTTGGAAGGATCATTTAAAAATACAGCTGTCTGCAACAAGGATTCGAGAGGGAATGAAGGGGGGGGGGGAGGAGAAGAGGGCTTACCCACCAACACCCTGGCAAACAAGGCTGCTCTGCATCTGTTGTACCTGTTCCTGTTGCCTTCCTTGCCTCTTGGAATCATGTCAAGAGAGAAAAGTCGCCTCAAAGCTGCGGGTCTGCAGCCCTGTGCAGGAAGTTGGCACCGATCCCAGGTAGGACTTTACTCCCACATTTCTACCCTCCACCCCCTCCTGCTTCTTCCCCTCCCCTTCTTCTTCTTCTCCACCCACCCACCATCTCCCTTGGTAAATTTCACCCTGCTCTTCCTCAACCCTGTACTTAACTTACCTTTCCCCCCTGCACTGCTGTATGCATGGGTGTGCATGCATGTACATTGGGAATCAATTCAGATGCACTCAGGACCCTCTCGAATTCAAGCTAAGAAGCACAAACACCCCTTAAGAGTGACCCGGGTGATAAAGGCAGCAACAGCTTCTTGTCTGCACGAGTTCTCCTACATGCTGTTTCACACATGGGTTGGGTAGTGGTTGGGTTAATTCTTTTTTTTTTTTTTTCCATGCTGCCAAGGAGACTGGACAGAACACAAGGGCGGGGGGAATACTCCGAACTCTGTACAGCACAATGAATGGAAAATGTTGAGCTTCGTGAAACTCCCAAATCCAATCCCTCCCTCTCCTCCCCTTTCTGCATTTTTAATACTGCCCGGCTTCTGAATTGTTTTGAGCCCACGGTTGGGAGGGAACATACAGTATGGACTCCCTGCTATTGGCAAGAGTCTTGCTGGGGGTGGGTGGGGAAGAACCAAGTTCTCACAATCAAACAGCGAGAAGAGCAAAGAGAAATTAACATCCAATTAGTGCCATGTTTAACGAAGGAGACAGAGACAGCCGTTGTTTTATTGCTGTGTTCTTTTCTTTTGGATCTGACAGGCAGCGCAAAAGGCACCCCCAGATTGCAGTGACGTCATTTTTTTCCTCTCTTCCAAGTTTCACAAAGGTTTGTCAAGTTAGGCAACAAAAAAAAAAAAAAATTAAGAAGAAAAAAAAATACATTCAAAGCCAAATGTCACAAAAACAAAAAATTAAAAATAAGATTTCTCTTTCTCGCTCTCTGCCTCCCTTTCTCTTTTTCTCTCTCTGTCTATGTCTGTGTGCCTTTGCTTGTTTTCCGGCTCACTCAGCTTGTAAAAGTTTGAGCTGTGTGACACTCCTCCCGGCCTCCTTTGGCAGCGTGACAAGAACTGCTTTGGTGTATCAAAGAGAACAGGCAGCTTTTAAGGAAGGAACTCAATTCAGAGAGATTAAAGAATTCTAATGTTTTAATCAAGGGAAAGCAAGGGGACGGGGGAGCTTTTCCTTACATCTGGTGCAACATAAGTGGCTCTCTAGATGTTGCTCCTGCAATTTAGAATTAAGGGGGTAAAGGAAATGAAAGAACCAAAATGAGCCAGGGAAGTAGCATTAACCACCCCACTGTTTCTCCCTCCATAGTGGTGAACATCCAAGCCTAGTATATGCAGAAATTTTGAAATATTCTTGGGCATCATGGTTGCAGACAAAGTCTTTCCAGTTACACATATGATTCTTACCCATTGGGGGTAAGAACAGAAGCCATTTTACCTAACATTATAGCCATATATTTCTTCCTACGAGACAGTCCCAGTATTCTCCTATCAACAAGGAAAATAGGATCCTTAATAAAATGCTTTTAATCCTGTAACAAAACAATTGGCAATTTCTCACTTTCTCTCCCTCCCAACCCGCAACCTTTATATCTGGGCCTCTTGTATCCTATCCAAACTGCTGAGAATTGATTTCTTCAGCTTGAAAGAAATGTAGCAAAGCTTTACGAGCACGTTTCCCTGACCAAATTAACTGGACTGAGGGATGTCCCTTGGTGACTAATGGCCGCTGTTATAGCTCAGCAGCCTTTGGAACCAAGCAGAGCCCTCTAGAGGCAAACCTACCAATTCTGGGCTAAAAGAATCCATGTTCAAAAACAGGATAACCCCAGGGATATTTCTGCACTAGGATCATTTTAAACTCTAAGCCATATTGAATATACTGGACAAAAAGCAACATGTAAATGAATACAGTAGTCATCTCTCTATTTGAAAAAGAAATGGTCAGCTTCCTTATTCCTACTCCTTCCTTGTTTCCATGAGGGCAAACAACTTTTTGATTTGAGTTCTCCTGTTATGATTCCTTAAGGTAGATTTCATTGTCATGAAAATACAAGCAATCATACTACATGGTTGGTGCTGTGACACCGGGAATAAACTGTGATGCCAGCAACAAGGCCACCAGTCTTTTCTTGCAACGTTCCCCTTTTTAAATCTGGGATCAGGTTTTTGGCTAGATATAGAAATGGATCATGACTTAATAAACATCAGCTGGCAAGAAGAGTACAGTAAAGTTGGTATTGTTAAGAGGAAGAGATCCCAACAATCACAAATAAGTACTGTGTATTCCCCACATCAATCTTGGGGAGGCAGAAAGAATGCACACTAAACATATCCACTTCTTTATGATCTGTTCTGGGATATTTTTTTTAAAAAAAGAATGACTTGGCCTTTGAAGTAAGTAATGGAAATGGTTCAAAGCAACGTGGGCTCTGCCATGACAAACAGCTTTGTAGCTAACCTGAAGTATTTGAAGATAATCTGGAAATATTTAAAATATTTCTTCCTCTAATGTGAATATTGTATTGATACATTTTATTACTTCAAATGATGGCTTTCCTTTTCTGTAGAGCATTATAAAGAAAAGCAATATAAAATTTCCTTTAGAAGTAAAATCAAATAGACCAGAATCTTTTTACAATTTGATTTAAATCGATTTCACAACTCCTGTGAAATTTCTAAGATTAGAGAAGATACTGGTAATTAGAAAACCTGAGACAAAAAAAAAAAAGAAGTTTTGGGGCTATTTGTTTTTGCTGCAGAATGGCATTTTATTTTGTTCTCCATTATTTTTGCATAATAAAACAAGAAGCAATTGCTGATAGGGATGCAAATTGTTTTTGTAATGAATGCAAACCTGAACCGAATGAAAATCATTTGCTCCAGTCTTCATTTGTTAAGAAACAAATGCTATTATTTGGGGTTTTTTGTTGTCTCATTCATACCTATTCATCACTGATTCTGGGGCAGAATGGGGCTTATGCTTCTCTAGTGAAAGCAGCTGCCTTTGGCAGTCACCATTTTTTTTTTTTTTTACAATGCCTAAGATATTTTATATCATCCGAAGGCATCCTGTGGTTAAAAAAAAGTCCATCAATTTCACAGCATGAAAAATTCTAAAGGATTCAGGAAAAAAAAAATAATCAAATGGTGATTAGAAAAATCAGATCAGAGAAAAAAAATTATAAAAGCAATCCAACCACCCGAGCCATAAAAGCAAATACATTTGAAATGATTGAATAACAAAAGAGGTACAATTTATTTTGTTAGTTAGTATGCTTATAGGCTGCTCCAATCACTTAACTCTGGATGGCAAACAACTCTTAAAACATGTAATCTGGGATTGAAAACAAATCATAGAATGTAATACATGTAAAACTGGGACTCATTTTAACATAGTAAACCAATTCCTTACTTGGAAGGATAGTAGTAATACTGTAATAAAATTAAAATAAAGCCAGATTGGAGCTACTAGTTGGTAACGTCATAGTTTTTGATTTTCACCAGAGAAGTTTTTTTCTGTAAAATTATTTTTGTATTATGCTTAAACCTTGTGAAATCTCACTCCTATGCTCTGTCTTATTTTAATGTACTATTACTGTATTAATATTATCTAGGTCACAGATGTCAAACTCGCCGTGTCACTTTGCTGTCACATGACATTTCTGAAGTTGATACCCCTGACCTAGGTAGTTTGTGTGAATCAGTTATTACCTAGGATCTGGAAAGTTGTTTTTTTCTCATTCTAGAACTGCTCTAGAACTTTGTGGTGTTGGCCTGACAAAGAGTTCCCTTGCCCTGGAGTTTCCTGTTCAAACTAAGCATAGTGGGTGGTGATAGGGCATCTTTTACAAGAAGGAATAGGAAGTCCACCCTTTGACTAGGAGAATGCCCAAAGAGAAGGATGAAAAAAGTGGGGATGAGGATCAAATGAAAGAAACGCTTTTGATTGCAAAGCTGAACAACTGCTCCCTCTTTTCTTTGCATACTAAAAAGAGACCCTTTAAGGCAGCAGTGGTGGTGGTGGTGAGAGGGGATGGTTTTGTTCGTGCGCCCGCTACTTGCACAAATGGAGCTTTGCGTGCTCATGAGCTCGCCTGCTTGCACAGCCTGGTTTCAAACAGGCCATGGCCCCATATTGTGCCATGGACCAGGGGTTGAGGACTCCTGCATTAAGGGACTCGGTAGCCTATTCGAGTAACTTTCTTCCCACTGCTACTACTCCAAGGAAGGGTCTAGGATGTGTGCCTAGCAAAAAACAGTCACCCATATGATGATGCTTCCCAGACATTTTAGTTGGAAGTGCATGTCCTATCACATCTTTCAGCTGTTCCTGTAAGACATTTTTCCAAGTTTCCATGCTTAGCAAATGGCTCCAAACCTGCAAATGCCCCACACTATCCAACAAGCTTACACAAACTCAAAGTTCTCTTGATGGCCTAGACTAGAAACAATTACCAGGCACTCAAGGATCCAGAATGTCTGTTAAATATCTTTTATTTCAGTAGATCTAATGTCATTATGAAAAACAATGATTGTGAGGTTATCAAAAACAAATCCCATATAGTAGACTCAATGTTCACATTTTCTACCTCTATATCCTGTGTCACCTATGGATAAACTAATCCTAAATCCTCTATTATGGGTAGGAAGCCTCGTTTCCCTTTGTTAGTTGCTTGGATTGGAATCTGACATGAAGTTGTTTTATTTTGACTTTGTAAGAAAACAAATTTTCACACCTGATCATGACGAATTATCAGAATTTGTGATTCCCAGATTTAGATGTTATCTTGTACTCTTGTCCACATCTTGTACTCTGTACCTCAAATTGAGCCTATCATATATAGTTTGATCATTTAAAAATACTAATGTAATGCTCAGTATTGCTTATAATAACTATTGTCAGAAAAGGCAAGATAAATTTCCTCTATATAAAGAAAAAGTTTTTTTAAGGAATAACAGTAAGAAATACACCAATAATTTTTTAAGATTTTCATGGCTGATAGAAAGAATATTTGGATATCTTTCTCCACTTCACCTTCTTCACATTTCATTTTTCTCCTATTTTGTCTAGCAGAATAATCTGGTATGTATGAGAAAGCTGAAATTATTAGTGGCATTAAATGAAATGGAATAGTTTTACTATTTTGAATGAATACAGATAATTTCAAACACTCAACTACACTTCCCTAAGGATGTGAACCTTCAGTTTCCATCACCTTCATGCAGCTTAGCCAATAAATGATAGTTCAGCTTCTAATAGACTAGAGCAGGGGTGTCAAACTGGCGGACCACAGGCTGGATGCCCACCCCAGCTCTACAAATGGGATAAATGTCGCACCACATCACGTGACAGTAATATGATGCTGCAAGTTTCACACCCGTGGGTTCTTTTCTAATCTAAATAATAATGGAGGCAGAAAAATGTTCTCATTTATGCTGCTATCTATAGGTTTTAGATATTGTTTCTTGCTTAAAAGGATCCATGTATCTGCCTATTAATATAAAAAACAGTAGGTAGGTTTGTGATTAGGCCCAATATATCAGGGGTCCCCAACCGCCGGTCCGCGGACCGGTACCGGGCCGCGGAACAAGCCTTACCGGGCCGCTGGTTGCTGGGCGCTGCCATCTTTTTTTGGTAAAAAAGCGCTTCCGGTGAGCTTTTCCGGGTAGAAAGCTCACCGGAAGCGCTTTTTCGTCATAAAAAGATGGCGGCGCCCAGTTGACGCCGGTACCGGGCCGCGGCGCCCAGCTGATGCCGGAACCGGGCCGCGGCGTCGAAAAGGTTGGGGATCCCTGCAATATATGGAACAATTTTAAAACTTGCGAGTAAATTAGCATAATGTTCCATTCTGCCACTGTGACTGTGCCTATCTATTAAGATATTAAGAGATAGTTTAGTGTTAATGGTTAAAGTTCCTGACTGAGAAAACAAGACTATGACTTTTAGTCCCACTTTAGGCATGAGCAACAGCTGGGTGGCTTTGAGCCAGTCAATCTCTCTCAGCCCCTCAGAGTTGTTTTATTCCTATTACAAATTTGCATTTATATTGGGATCCCGCCACATTTTTTCCTCATATAACCTTGTAATATGGACTATATTAATGGTCCAAAAGATCCATGATCATATAGAAACTTCAACTTGGATCTCTATAGTGATTATGTAACATCTTAATGACTACATTTTTATTTAGACCAGGTCATTTCTAGTTGATAGCTTTTTATTTTCATTAAAAAAAGTTGTGCGATAAGGAATGGTTGGCTCCAGAACATGCCTTTTTCCTTTGGAATGGGATGTCTGGCATATTTTGGATGTGGTTCACATATTTCCAGAAGTGCACTTATCATAATAAGAAATAATTACTTTTACAATAAATTTCTTTCCTGTCTGGAAATGCATTAACCATTCCACTCTAGGGAAAAAAAGGAATTTTGTACACAAGTATTCTTTTTTGCTTCTTATCCTTATTTTATAATTTTTATCTTAATTTCTTTAAAAAAAAAATATCTCTGCAACTTACATAGAATTTGTCCTGATCCTGACTGAGACATGATTTCAATGCCTGCCACTTTCACTCTGAATTCAGCATTCAAGAATTGATCTGTATTATGGGCTTCCTAATGTCATCTCCAAATAAAACACCAAGAAAGGAGACTAGGGATTAATGGATAGCAAGCTATTCACTGCCGATTTGTTTGTATGCCAAAATCTAGTCATGCCCTTTGTGGGAAGCTTATTGCCCTGCTCCCCCTCCTATTGGGATCTGTTGTCTTCTTGTCTACGTGCTGCCTGCTCTGGCACTGTACAACAGGAGCAGAGGAAAGCAAACATTCCTATCACTCTAGGCCAAGGGCGTGCTCCACGGCATCAATAATGGCTCCTCTGTTTAGCAAGCAACACTGCATCATCTTTAGTCATATCCCACACACTCTTGTCCTGACTGGAAAGCACCTTCATTGCACAGTTGGCCACTCTAATCCTATACAGGGAAGCTACCTGAGCCTGATGCCTGGGAAGTCGTTATCCCCTTTATAGAATGAAACTTCAGACAATCAAGATAGATCTGAAACATATTTGCTCCTAGACTCATGGGCCAAATATTGTGATTACTTAAATGCTTGCCAACTACCCTAGATCAGTATCAATGTTTGATTTCACAATTTTGATATTGACCCGCCACTGACATTTAGTCAGTGACTAAACACTGACATTTAGTGTTTAGTAAGTGAAGCCTGGACTAAAGTTTCTATTTAGGTGTTCAACCAATCATGTGCTTTCCCAGATACTCCATTTTGTTTTTTACCCTCAAGGTTTCTTGATTTCTCCATTCCTGATCCAGTTGACAATGTTCTGTGGCTATCCAGCTTTAGTGGGCCGATATTCCTTCCTTTTGTGTAGGTATGTTCTTGTTGTTATTGGAATTATGTATATTTTGAATTGCCCGACACCAGCTGGCTTCTGTGAAATTATTTTTTGCTACAGATTGGCTGTGTGTATGAATGTCTATGAATGGTGCATTTGTATAGTAATGTTGTGACAAAGAAAGTCTAAAGTTTAAAAACATCCAGGATATCATTGAACTGCTGAAGCTTCAAAGGCATGACAAATACTTAAAATTGTGAGAGATTTAATCTTAAAGGACTCAGCATGATTTTACAGGTGAGTACATATAGCCGAATCCTGACTCACAGAATCAAGAGTCTATTCAATTTTAAATTGCAAATCTATAGAGGTGGGCTTATCTTGCAAGTCTGCCAAGATGGCTTTTACTTTCTACAATGCACTCCATTAGTTTGCAACAAAATTTTGTATCTTTTTCTAACAATGAGGGGCAATGGTAGCAGCTAAACAGTTTTTAGAATTAATATCTTATTTTTTTAAAAGAACAAACAAGCCACAATATAATGAAAGTATGCCAGGACCCACTGATATGAAAACACCTACATTGAAAACTTAACTTTTAAATTCTGATTCAAAACTTGGAAATGAAATCTTGTAATATGAGCAAATTTCAAACTTTTTATCTCACCTTTTGCTTGAGTCAACCTTCAAAACTATAAACCTTTCTAGGTATGCTCTGACATAGATACTCAAGTGTTTTGAATAATTTAATGACTGTGCTGGTCAATTTTGAGGGGGGGGGGAAGATGAGCAACTAAACTCTTTTCTTCCATCATACATCATTTTCCAACTTCATCTTTGAGAATTAAAGCCATAGTTGCTTTAAACTTTTATTTGAACTATGTTTTTTGTTAAGAACCCTGCTTGAAAAATAACAAAAATGCATTGAAAAATTGGAAGATTAACACTTCTCAGTTACAATTTTTTGGAAAACAGCAGGTCTCTTCATAATGCTGGGGGTGGGGAAATGAAATGGAAAATCTGTTTAAGACGATACCATTATCTCCAAAAGGAACTAGATATAAAACACACAGGAAACAAACAAAAAGGGAGACGGGCATAATATGCCCTCCTTCAAGAAAGATGAAAAATATAAGAGAACAACACAATTATACACCACAAATATTAAATAAATGAACCACTTGCCAGTTTGTCCCTGAGAAAGGCTGAAGAATTACAAAACGGGAGGTACTTAGTGACTTTGCTCAAGGAAATAGTTCTCAAAATTCAAAACAGCTGCATTATGCTAAAAATAGGTAATGATCAGAAGAAGGAAGTGAGGTCTCAGCTGTATGTGTCCTGTTTTAGTAGATCTGAGGTATCGTTCTACTACTGGTGGCTCCTCGACCCAGCCAAGTCTGTGCTGGGCTTACCACAAGCACAGCTGGGTTTTTAGAAAGAACCACTCCATCCAAGTTGTTTGCCAAGTTCTTGGTGGAGTGCAGTGGAGTTTTAAGATTCAAGTTACCGAAAAGGATTCCTCCTGCTACACAATTCTGAGATATTCAGAAATTCTTCTTAGAGTGCCCTCAGCAAATGAGAGATGGATGACCAGAGGAAATAATCTCTAAGCGGTGGCATTCCAGTTATGATATAACCTTCCCAGAACAGGTCTTTTGATGCCATCTTTGTTGGATTCACATATAATGCTAAGCCATCATGTGATTGCTATTTAGCTCACCATATTATGCAATCCTAGCTAACAATCAACCCATAGTACAGTAGCTTAGTAACTGTGTAAATTCAATATTTACCCCCTACAGAGCCAGAGTAATTCATATCTATTTATTAAATAGATTTTAACTTTTGATTCTCAATTTAAAATTGTTTTAACTTTTGATTCTCAATCTAAAATTGTATGTTTTAAAAATTAAAATAGTTACAATATTCTGTATTATTTTAAATTGCATTTTAAATCCTGTGCTATACGTGCTTGCAAGCTGCCTGCAGTACAAACTGATCAGCTAAATTTAATAATAAACAATACTGTATAAGCTTTTGTTGGCTTTAGAATGAATGAATCTAAAAAAGATCTGCTATCAACTCATTTTCTGAATTTGAGTAAATAACTCTGTACCTTTGCTGAATTTTAAAAAAATCTTTAATACCGTCTGCCCTCTGTTGTCTTATTAATATACTACTCAGTTGTACAACCAAATCAATCAGCAATTTGCCAGCTGACTGAACACAAAAATGCAGGAATTGATATATCCCTCTTCTCCCAAGCAAACAAGAATAGGATCTGACAAAAAAAAAAAAGCAAATGCATCATCTCTGAAGCAGATTTGTAAAATATATCAAATGCTTCTGAAAACAGACTGGGAGAATTAGAACATTCAGACTAGCCATATGAAACTGCCTTGTATCTAATCATAGCCTGTCATTAGTTTGAAGTTATCCCAATATATGGGGAATATCTTGTCATGTAATGATAATAAGACTATTTTCAAAACGCAATGACTGAACAAAACTCAGTACTGGCCTTTAGTTTAAAGGGATAAATTAGGACAGAAGGTGGCAAAAGACAGAAGTCTAAGAAATCTCAAACTGCACAGGAAAGAAAAAAATACCACTTGTATAGTCTAATTTAAAAATTAATATGGCTTTTATTGCTTAGATAATGATCATCATGTTAAAGAAGGGTAAAACCACCATCAGATTTATTTAAAAATTATTGTTTTGGAATAGTACTGTTCAAAGCTTTCCATATATAAAGCATTAGTAATCCCCATTTAATCATTTCTACTTGTTCATTAAGTATGTGACTTTTCTCCTCTGACTCAAAAAGTGGATACTGATTGAGGCTAAGGGACAATAATTTGTCTAATGTTAATGAGTCATTACATGACACAGGTATGACCTTCACTGGGGTTTTATCAGCTCATACTTGGCTTATAACAGTATGTGCTTTCATAGGAGCTACTCATATTATAGTCAATAGAATTTAATTCAGAGTGAATATAAATAGAATTGTGTTCCTAATTATAAAGCATTTAATCTATGTAAGTATGTCATAAACTGGTATCTTTAAAAGATAAGTAGTTCATGTAGTTAGCCTTGACTTATATAAATATAACTATATCATGGCTGAGCTCAATTTGCACATTTTATGATTAACAGCTTTGACAAAACTAAAAGCACACTAAAAGATTTTAAAGATTAAATAAAACGACTTAAAATTTTGTCCAAAAATAGCATGGATAAGAATGAATAAATAAATAAGAACTAGGACCTAATTCAATCTTCATTTTAAAAGAATATTGCAACAGAATCAAGATACCAAATACCATCATTCTCTTTAAAATAATCTACATTCTAGAAGTTACTTGCTAAAGAATTTAAGAAAAAAGGCCACCCTATTACTCAGAAAAAAATGCCTTCAAAATTTCACTTCTTTCTTGGCCTGTATTCTGTATTCACTTATCTTTATCTGAAAACAATACCATCAGCTATAATATCTAATTCAGGGCAAGGAACGAATACCAATTTAAAATCGTTTGGATAGAATAGAAAGCATTTTGCTTGCTTTTTAGACCTGGATTTTATATTCTCAACTTGATACCAGAAGGAACTAGATTCAAATGTGCAATTTTTTTTCTTGACTATCTAGCTGTATTTAAAGATAAAAACTACAAGCCTATAGGCAATATTAACACAATTGAAGTCATTTTCACATTTTATTTTTAAAATGTCAAATAAGATTTGAATTCATTTACTTATTTACATTAACAAGCAATATTAATACAGTTGAGGTTATTTTCACATTTTATTTTTAAACAGATATCAAGTAAGCTTTGAATTAATTTGCTGTAGCTGTTCATTTACTTTGACATAAACAACTTTAAAATTTTGGCAAAGATCAGAAGCTATGGAAGCACCTGCATTTCTAGATTCCATAAAAACCGTTCCCCAATAAATTGTGCCGAATGCTTACACAATATATTTTTCAGATGTAATCCTCAAATCATCAGGACAAATATATTGGCTCAAAAGATTGTGATGATAAAATAAAATTTCTGGGCCACTGCATTTGAAAGACAAATTTCATCCCTAAAGAATTCCTACAACTTTTCTGAAGCAAGAGATTGTGAATATTTTCCTTTCTGGGTTAAAAGAAAATACCAAGAAAAACAATGACAAAATAGACATACCATACTTCACTGTATGAAAGTTACAAAATTAATGCACTTGGCTCCTGACCCAGAAAGCACTTCAATGCTTTCCTGAAGCCAGCTTAGATCCATTTGGGAATTACTGAGTAATACACACATGCAGAAAACATAAAACCTACCACCAAAGTTAAATGGTATGGAGTCACTGGCTCTATTTACAGCAAACCTAGATGGAAACAAGACTTTCTTCTGTGTATAGATAAAGCTGGAACACAGCTTGCTGAGCAACATTTTCAGTATTAATATTGTACAATGAATTAATGTACTTCAGAATCCCAATGTTACATTTTTATTCTTTAGTTAAGCTTCCCGATGACCAACATCAATTCAGGTTTTTTAAACAGTAGCACCAAAAAGACAAAGCAGCATATTTCCCATTTTCCCTTTGTGGTTTGTTCTGCATGATTGTAATTTGAAAATAGCTTTTTCTTACCTTGTGATATGCATGATTTAACTGTATAAAATTTCGAACTAAAGCCACATGAATTCTCACTTTCATTTACAGTACTCAGTCTTCCTTTGGCTCTATTTAAGACTATTCACATGAATAGGTATTCTGAATATGACAATTTGTCAGCAGGCAAGAATATTTAATTGGTAAAAAAGATACTCCATCACCAGAAATATAAATTTACTATGCTATTTGCAAAGCTGCTTAAAGTGGGACTCACATTAATTGACAGATCTCTTTGTAGCAAAAATTAATATAATGAGTAATTTGATTGTAGGAATTGCAAGTAAGGCCAAGTTGTTTAAATGTTAAATGTTTAAATGTTAGGAAAAGCTCAGCAGTAAAAACTATCTTAACAGTGCAATCCTGTAGCGGTTTGTCCAAAAGCCATTCCAACTGTATTTAGTGAATTTTGAATCAGTAAACTTACAATCTGAAGTAAATACTAGAAAAGCTAACTATGATCTAATGAGTTAAGTGTTCACATGGCAAATGCTGCTTAGCTAGAATAAGTGACCTGCAGTAGGCATCCCAACACAACCAAGTTTTTATCAAAAAATAAAATCAGTAATGTAGTGCAATATTATTTCATATTTATATAACATTGCTGACCAGGAAAAATACTGCTCATGGTATTCAGCAAAATCATTTTCTTGGCTCTTACTACTTTACTTTGGTCAGAAATCACCCCAAAAGCCTGACTTGATAATTGTTATTGTCAGATGTATTATCTCTGCAGCTGTATTGAATCTTAATATAAAAAAAGTGTTCTGTCTGACATCTGGAATGTCTCTGTATGACATGAGAACTACCACAACTCAATTATCATACATACATGACCTTTTCTTGTACTAAGGGCTCTGTAGCCCAATTTTCATTATTATAGAATTCTTCCTAAATCACAACATATAGTATTCCTTGATCTACAAACATTCGTTTAGTGACTGTTCAAAGTTACAGCAGCACTGAAGAAGGTGAGTTATGACTGGTCCTCCTACTTATAACCTTCACAGCATCCCATGGTCAGGTGGTCAAATTTCAGAGACTTGGCAACCAGTTTTGGGTGTCATGTGATTGCCATGTGCAACCATCCCAGCTGGCTTCCAACAAGAAAAGTCAATAGGGAAAGCTGGATTTGTTTAACAACTGCATGATTCACTTAACAATTGCACTGATTCACTTAACAACCAAGATCATGGACACGACTCAATTAATAACTTCCTTGCTTAGCAACAGAAATTCTGGTCTCTATTGTGGTCATAAGTCGGGAACTACCGGAATCGAGCTTAAATTTGTAATCAATACAAAACAAAAAATATTCTGGATAGATCCATGTAAATAATCCATTCTACGCTAGGGTTTAAGAAGTGTCTTTGTCAAATATTTAACTTAAAAATAGATGATGTTCAATAAGCTGCCTAGAGATATTACAAAATCTAAACAATCAGGTTTATACATGTCATGATTAAAAAATTCAGTATTAAGGGTGTTTGTGGTTTTGCTAAATGTTAGGAATGAAATGTATTCCAACATCGGTTGGATTTAATATGTAGACTAAATTACATGGCAAAAAACCAAAACTGATAAAGAGATAAAGTTTAAGCTGTTTTCTCTAATGGTACTAAACGGGGAAATCTGCATTCCATCTTAGATCTTATTTAGGGAAAAAGGTAAATCAGCTTCTTATATCCTGCAAAACCATGACTATGCCTGAAAACCTGAAAAGTTATCATTATTCAGGCTGCCCCTTTGATCTAAGGCCTGACCAGCACTGTTCCCTTCATCTGGCAGGCAAGATCTAGCCAGAAATATCTGAACATTTTGTTGTCAAGCTTTCTGAAATCAGCTGTTCTTACTGCTGAAAGCCTTTCATTTTACAAATGAAAAAGAATGGTAAAAACAAGGTGTTTTAGAGTCTCTTCTACAAGGATCTAAGTTTGCTTCTGTCTATCACATTAGTCAACAAAAAAAGTTGCTGGTGTGGATGCTCTACGAAAAAGTAGGCTGGAACCTCTGAAGAGCTGCCCCTGGAGAAAGGAGAGGAACATGTTATAGAAAATGGTTTATTAAGATCTGTTGCAACTTCTTGCTGATCAACTGAGAACTGCAATAATCACAGGGACAGAGAGACCACAATACCTGGCGGCGAAACTTCAAGCTCAGAGAGCATGGGAATATATCTATGTAAAACAAAACGTGGAGAGCTGGACAAAAATTGTAACTTTTTGAATATTGATGAAAGAAAGCAAATATAATGCTACTATAAGATGATGTCAGCCAGAGGAAAGATATTGCCTAGAGATTCAATTCACATGGAGCACAAATTTATTTTCAATGGCAACCCTGGTCTCCCCCCATCACCACCATTTTAGTGTCTGATATGTTTCTTCCCTATTCCTAGTAGGATTTCAAATGAAAGCTTCCCAAAGCCTTCATGAGGGCAAAATAATTCTCCATACTAGCTATTTAGAAGCTTTTAAGACACTCTTTATTTTCCTTTTAGGCAGCACGACAAAAAGACATTAAGTGAACAAGGTTCAGTGACAGGGAATCAAAAACTCTTTGCTTCTGAACAGTGGTATTTAAAAGGTTTTACAGAAACTCAATTTAAAAAAATATACAGCTTCTTTGTTATGAGAGCTGGAGCACTGGAATGAAAAACTTCTCAAATGTACCACAATGCTTTTTTTTTGGTAGATTTATATTGAATGTAAAATCAGTTTCCAGTTCTTGCTATGTCTGATGAATAGAAAACCTTGGATACTGATTGAGATACATTGTTAAAGTTTATTTTTAAAAGTATCAGTTTTTCAAATAAATATACTGTATCAATAAATGGTTACAAAGGGATATGACTAACAATAATGTGATATAGTTCTATAGGTTTTATTATATACTGCAAGTGTCATAGGCAACACAAAATCTGTTTTCACTTGCAAAAATCTATCCAAGATTACTAGACGTGAAAATGAAACACTGTTCCTTCCAATGAACAACCTTAATTCTCAAATATTTCTATTTTTTTCCCCTCTGCACATGAATGAAATTTGTATAAACTTTTGAAAGAAAAGAAGAATGAGATCTTATTGCATGGAGAACACTATTAGAAAACACATAAGAAAAATCTTAGATTGACGCCCCTATTCAGACAAAAAAAATATATAATTAGAGTATGCATAAACAAATGATAGGGGGAAGAAAAAATGAGCAGAATTCAAAGCCTGCAAGAATCAAGCTGTCACCTGATCATATGTTCTTATTGTCAACTCACGAAGCTTTCTTGACCTGCTCCCATAGGCAGGGGGATGGAAAATTGCGCCTCACAGCTGAACTGAGGAATTCACACCTCAGTCAAAATAAGACACAGCCTAGCTGGCCAAAGTCAAGGCCATCTCCACAGAGACCCGAAATGGCTGGAGGGAGTGACTTCTATGACTGTGAAATTGTTTGTTGGGGAATGTGACTGGTGACACACCTTGGGGAGAGGGGGCAACAGGGTCAGAGGCAAGGTGTGAACTGGGTAAAGTCAGAGCTGGCTTCACTTAGTGCTGACATGGTGCTCCTAGTGAACAGTTGTATTTTTTTTTTTTTTTTTGAGAAATGGCTTGAGCTTCCTGATTTTATTAGGGCGTTGGTCGGAACCCTGACACTGATGATGTTAAAATAAATTAATAAAGGCATAGAATGTTCCTGTTTGCACTTCTTAAAACATGCTGAAAAACACCATTGAACTGATAATACTAATATTATAGAAAATAAAAAATATGCATATAAAGACAAATAATGATGTCATAGTTGAGATTAAAATAAAGCAAGAGATATATACAATTAGAAAAATGCAACTAATAATCTCAAGTGTTAAAAGTATAAGGGGAGAAAGAAAACAGGAACCAACTAATATATGAAAGTTATTAAAATGTTTTGATGCACAGGCAAGTTAACAAAGTCTTTTATCTTCAGTAAAAAGTAGTGTTTTTTAGAAGAAGGAAAGCAAAATTTAAAACTAGATCCCCGCCTTTTCTTGCCAGATTTCAAGTTGTGCCTTTTAGCTATCCATCTCTACGGTGTTATATTAAATCTCTACTTAATATAACACATATAAAGAACCCATGCATTGTAAATTCCCTTCAGTGAGAAAAGACTGAAGGAGCTTTCAAAGAAGGAAAGGAAAGGAAGAAAATTTAAAAATAAAAGGCGAGGGAAGGCAATCTTTTTCATAGTCAACAAGAGGACAATTTTGTCTGCTGCTAGATTTTATGTGCATGTAATTCAGAATAAGGTAAGAAACAGTAAAACAAAAGAAAAAAGAAAGATGGAATTATTTACATGGGCCAATATCCATTTCAGAGAAAGAATGATACTCACCTGAGCACTAAGGTGTCTCCAACAATGAATCCAAGAAGAAAACACAGGTACATATGGAGGAAGCCCAGCAAGTAACCTACATAGCAAAGAAAGCTGTCAGAGGAGAACATATATATGACAGAGAAAGTAACAAGCAAGGCATACATGGCAACAAGTCTGTTTGCTACAGAAAAAAACATGTTTTTGCCTTAGAAAGAAACTGCCTTGAGTTTTTCCTAACATAAGATTATAATAAATGTTTCTACAATGTGCTAGATACGCCCATTTTATGGATTAGGCAGAACTTTCAATTTTTAAAATCTCAGTCTGTATTGTATAATTTGACTCATACTGGATATGGTTGCCAATTATTATATACTTATCAAAGTTTAATATTGACTAATTTTAAGACTGACCTAAAATACTAAGTATTTTACATTGATCTGCGGCAGGCAGATGTATAACATATAATTTTGAAATGTTATACAGGTGAAACTAAAAAAAAAATAGAATATCGTGCAAAAGTTCATTTATTTCAGTAATGCAACTTAAAAGGTGAAACTAATATATGAACGAGATAGTTCAAGCCGTGATTTGTCATAATTGTGATGATTATGGCTTACAGCTCATGAAAACCCCAAATCCACAATTGCAGAAAATTAGAATATTACATGCAATCAATAAAACAAGGATTGTACATAGAACAATATTGGACCTCTGAAATATAAGTATGCATATATACTCAGTACTTGGTTTGGGCCCCTTTTGCAGCAATTACTGCCTCAATGCAGTGTGGCATGGAAGCTATCAGCCTGTGGCACTGCTGAGGTGTTATGGAAGACCAGGATGCTTCAATAGCGGCCTTCAGCTCTTCTGCATTGTTCGGTCTCATGTCTCTCATATTTCTGTTGGCAATGCCCCATAGATTCTCTATGGGGTTCAGGTCAGGTGAGTTTGCTGGCCAATCAAGCACAGTAATCCCACAGTCATTGAACCAGGTTTTGGTGTTTTTGGCAGTATGGGCAGGTGCCAAGTCCTGCTGGAAAATAAAGTCAGCATCCCCATAAAGCTCGTCTGTGAAGGAAGCATGAAGTGCTCCAAAATCTCCTGGTAGATGTTGACCCTGGACTTAATGAAGCACAGTGGACGAACACCAGCAGATGACATGGCTCCTCAAATCAACACAGACTGTGGAAACTTCGCACTGGACTTCAAGCATCTTGCAGTGTGTGCCTCTCCATTCTTCCTCCAGACTCTGGGTCCTTCGTTTCCAAATGAGATACAAAAGTTGTTCTCATCAGAAAAGAGGACTTTGGACCACTGAGCAACAGACCAGTTCAATTTTTCATTAGCCAAGGTAAGACGCTTCTGACGTTGTTTGTTGTTCAGGAGCGGCTTGACAAGAGGAATACGACATTTGAAGCCCATGTCCAGGATCCGTCTGTGTATGGTGGCTCTTGATGCACTGACCCCAGCCTCAGTCCACTCCATGTGAAAGTCTCCAACACTTTTGAATGGCTGACAATCCTCTCCAGGCTGCAGTCATCCCTGCTGCTTGTGCCCCCTTTTCTTCCACACTTTTCCCTTCTACATAACTTTCTATTCATGTGCTTTGATACAGCACTTTGGGAACATCCAACTTCTTTTGCAATTACCTTTTGAGGCTTTCCCTCCTTATGGAAGGTGTCAATGATGGTTTTCTGCACAACTGTCAGGTCAGCAGTCTTTCCCATGATTGTGATTCCTACTGAACCAGACTGAGAGACCATTTAAAGGCTCAGGAACCCTTTGCAGGTGTTATGGCTTAATTAGCTGATTAGAGTGGGACACTTTGAGCCTTGAATATTGAACCTTTTCACAATATTCTAATTTTCTGAGATTGTGGATTGGGAGTTTTCATGAGCTGTAAGCCATAATCATCTCAATTATGACACATCACGGCTTGAACTATCTTGCTTTGCATGTAATGGGTCTATCTCATATATTAGGTTCACCTTTTAAGTTGCATTACTGAAATAAATGAACTTTTGCACGATATTCTAATTTTTCGAGTTTCACCTGTAGTTGGTTTTATAAGGCCTGTACATTCCCTTTCTATTAATTTTTCCTTTTTCCCTTTTCATTCTTCCCTTATCATTTTTCTGACTGCACTTCTAAAATAAATTATAATAAAAAAGAAAGGAAGTTATCTGCAAAATGTATTACTTGTGCATTCTCGTTAGATATTGGACAAATTTATAGGATAAGAAATTCTTCATTAAGTTTTCTGTCATTTGAAAATTGTCAATGTTTATAAACTTGAAACATACTTGCAAAAAAGAATGTATATGCTTTATGTTTATTAAACTAAAAATGCATATAATTGATAAAAATGTTTGCCCCAAACACAACCCAGACACATATACAACCAAACCAGTTATTTTCTTCCTTCATTGATTCCAAATCTATCCGTATAAATTAAAGTCTATTCTCTCTCTCTAGTTCTTTTTTCTTTCTTGACAAAGAAGACAGGAAAGTAGTGTTGGCTTTTTTTATGCATACAAGACTTAAAGTCTTTTATCTAGGAAACTGAGACTATTGAGTAATTCTGCCAAACAGGAAGCCTACTAAATTTTCACTAGAGAGATTAAGTTGTATTTGCTGGAGTGGGGGGGGGGTGGGGGTGTTTAATATCACATACCCACAGTTGTTCACTGCCATGAGATCACCCACAAGAAGAAAAGGGTATGTCAACATGCTCACGGCAATCTGTAACAAAGAAATATTTGAGGCATTCCTTCTATTCTTCACAGTTAAGCAAAAAAAAAAAAAAAAAAGCAAATATTGTAGGTAAACAAGATTTTGTGCAAAAGTAATAGGAAAGGACAAGTTTACTAATCTTTTTTACCAGAATTGGGTTACATATTACTACAGTAATATACATATAACCAATTCAGTGGGCCACAGAAGCAATTGTAAATAAAAAAAAAGCCTGCACTTAAAAGAGTCCTCAGTACTTAGTATATTGCAGCTGCACTTTTCTGTTGATATGTACATCTGGAAAGCAGAATATATCTTCAGTTCCTATTAATTGCAGCAAAAGATTTCTCACCAACTGTTCTGAAAAGATAGACCATCATAATGTTGCTTTAGTCTTATTCCCAGCCAACTGAGATGTAAACTGATATTAACTGCCTTTAGTTATTCCAGGGTTATAGTAGTGTTTCCCCTTTTTTTGTTTTGTTTTAAAGCCTGCGATACAAATGATCACTGCCATCTCCAGACAGCTAGGACTTATAAGGGTAAGGAGAGAAGAATTCATGAAGAGCTGACTCTTTTTCTACTAGAACTCCAATTACATGTAGCTGCTACCCATCTGGTTACTCAGCACTGGCACCTGATACCAAGGACTAACAGGGCTGGGTAGAGTAGCAGGAGAGTGGGACAGAAGTCAATTTCTCCACTGTGAGATCTCAAATCACAAGGAACTGAACCATCCAACTAGAGACCTGAAAGGAAAAGGCCTGGCCTCCTGTAACCATTTGTATTTGATAAGACTTTCCGAGGTTGCTGAACTCACAGAGATCAAAAAATGTTCAAGCTGCCTCAAAAGAGCTCCACACTACTTTTTTTTTTTTTTTTACATATTACAATTATCAATTGGTGAGGTATTTGTAATCTGTCTCACATCCAAACCTTCATCTGTGTAATCAACCTGCTTTCCTCTCTCTCTTTCCCAGCATCTCATTTTATATTATATGTATATCAAGTCACTCAAACATCTGATGAAGTGAACCACAGTTCACAAAAGCTTACGCCTTTTAATAAAATCTATTAGTTGGAAAAGTGCTGCCAAGACTTCTGTTTTTCCCGCCCAATTCAGAGAATGGAATTGGCTTTGGCCATGCTGGCTGGAAACTGCACTCCTAAGATATTAGAGATAAAGCCTGGGAGGAGCGACAAGAGCTGTGAATCAGGAACATGCAACTATACACATTTCAAAAGGCACAAATCTTACATACCCCCATCACAAACTTAGTGTAGCTCCGAATGACAGAAGCTTGGTTGAACTGTAAGAAAAAACAATAATCCAAATCCAAAAGTTTCTTGGGGACCAGGGCAACACACGTTAAATAAATACAGGAAAACATTTGGCAGTAAACTCTTGCTAAGGCACATGCATGGCAGAAGCCTTAACACAATAGCAATCTCATCAATAATTGACCCTCAGAAGGAATGGCATCATAAGAGATGGGTGAGGCGGAACCAATGCAACTATAATTTTATTAGGAAAAAAGTCAAGAGATTAATTAGAATAAGACCCTACTTGACTATAATTAACTTTAGTCACACTGGACCAAGTGTAATATTTGAATCTTATTAATAACTGTTAGGAATGTAAGTCACCTAACAGTTATTTGGGTTGGAAATATAAAAACCAGGATAGACATTTTATCTTTAAGAGAATCCTAAAACTGTAATTGGGTGTGGTTTCTCAAATGGCCATAAGATGGAGCCAGAAACCTGGGTTGTTTAGTCTCAGAATAGAGTCTCCGTGAAGTGGGTGAGTCTCAGTGAGTTTCTGTTTCCTTCTGTTGGAGAGTTTTGCCGTTCCTCCTAATGACTGTTACTGATCGTTCATGTAAGTCTGTTACCGAACTGCTTTTGATACTGGACTTTGATATTTGGATTATCCCTGAACTGAACACTGATTGCTCTACCTGTGAATGACTTGGACTGCTTATCTTGAACTTTGCTTAAACGTTTATTGGAAGTAAAAACCTACATTTACTGTACAGTGTATCTGTGTGCTGTGTGTGTGTGTTATTCTTCACTTCTCTCACTATGTCTCCCTGTATGCGCTCATTCTCCTAACGGGGAATTACCTCAACAATAACCAGAAATACCAAATTTTATTATTAGTTAGGAAATACCTTTCAATGTTTGGTATATTTTGTTTTTCCTTAGACTTAGTTTACTTTCTGTAAAAAAAGTAAGTGAACATGGGAAAACTGCCAGCATAAAACAAACAAAAAGAAAAATTGGCCAGAACAAAATAATTGTTGTACAATAATACTTAAACTTGTGAAATTCTGGTTTCTTTCAATCTACTTTCTTGCTTGACATCATGATGAATTATTTGTTAGATTTATATCCCTTTCTCCCAGGCTTGCACGGAAGCCTACCTGGGGATGTAAATTTATCCTCTCAACCACCACACATATGAGGTGGATTGGACTGAGGATGTACAACTGGTTCAAAATGAATTTTCATGGCTGAGGTATGAATGTGCCCCTTAGCTGGGAGCAGCCCACTACACCGCAATGGATCTTTGGGGAAGAAATTTTAGAGTACAATAAAATTACTCATCACTCACATTGTCATCCACAGCGTAAGTGTTGATAAAATGAGCCAGAAGGTTGCAACACCACAGAAAAATAAGATCACCTAGGACATGAGGAACTAAACCTCTGAGGGAAAAGAAAAGAGAAAATATTAAATAACAATACTCTTAAATTAACCTCATACAGTTTAGAAAATAATAATAGTAAAGTACGTAAAGACTATACATATGAAATTTGTATTTGGAATACAAATACCTAGAGAGATTGTTTGGAGCTTAGAGACTAAATCAAGTCCAAAGGCATGTAGTAAGAAAATGAAAGATACAAGATCTTAGAACTTCATCAATGTTCTAATGCACATTGAGGAAAGAAAAGAAAGAATGAACCCTAGGCCAAATGTTAATGCACAGAAAACAAAAAAATCCGATACACAGCAATATGCCTTAGAAAACTAATCATAAATATGAATTAATTAATTAATTCAGCAATAGTAAATAATTTTGAGCATGCAAAAAGTGATGATGAGTCATTTAGTATTGTATCTATATCCATAGGATAATACAGTCACTAATTATGCATGTGCCAATGTTTAACTGAAACAGAAAGATTTTACTAACTCAACCATCCAAGGGTCCATACTGATTGAAAGTTGTATTCTTGCTACAGCCTACCCTATTTTCTAATTAACTGCTAATACTAGTACATCCGCTTTAGATGTTACCACTTTGTTGGCTACTCTGTTCCAGGAAGGATATGGTGGATGAAAAGACCCCTTTTTCATGTTGTATTCTGTCAATGTAAAAACTCACTCGCCATGAGATAGAATACTATCTTCTTTATGCCTTTCATTTCTCTTTCCGGAAAAAAATTCCTGGAAGTTAGGTTTCAGGCATGCAAATTGTTTGCAGATAAAATGGCCATGTTCCTGAATGTTTACATCCTTTCAAAAGATTTTCCAACAGTGATAATGTGATAGGAAATGAACAGAAGGGGAATTATTAAGTAAGTGAGCAATAGCAAGTCCTTTAATATTGTAATTCCTTACAAATTAAATATCTAATATTTGTCTTGGTTCTATATACTGTTTTGCTCTGGTTTCATTTGAGTTTTGGAGGAAGGCCACCAGTGTGCCATTTAAAAGTCTCTCAGTCCAAACTAAGTTGTTCATTTCTGTTTGCAAGATTCTGGAAGTGATTTGCATTGCTTCTTTCCAAGGACTGAGAGAGAGAGAGCAACAACCTGGATCTCTCAGTTCATTTTATCCATGCAATATTTTACCATTTTTTGGCTGTTAGAGAAAGGATTTGGACCATTCAAAAAATTTAAAGTAGAATCTCTTAAGATTTTATTGAGAATCTTAAGAAAAGTCAATCATACGAGATGCAAATCTTAACAGGTGACCAGGAAATGTATAGATTGATCATATTCCTAATTTAATACAGTGATGTCTATTTTCTAATTCAAAAAAACTTTACTGATTTATTCTATATATCCTTAAGTAAAAAAAAAAACTTAAGTTAAATTTAGCACTGATTAAAATGTAAGTGCAGAAACAGATTAATAATTTCCTAGTTTGAATCACTGTGCTTGAACAGGTCTTGCAATTCTTCAAAAATATATCTAGGAACTTTATGAAGGAGAAAGTCCAACTATTTTATGAGAGATTGTTATTTGTGTGTGAAATTGTGTCTGACTAAAAAAGACAGTAAATTGTCAAGTATTATCTTTCTCTCTTTTACAGGTGAAACTCAAAAAAATAGAATATCGTGTAAAAGTTCATTTATTTCAGTAATGTAACTTAAAAGGTGAAACTAATGTATGAGATAGACTCATTACATGCAAAGCAAGATAGTTCAAGTCGTAATTTGTCATAATTGTGATGATGTGGCTTACAGCTCATGAAAACCCCAAATCCACAATTGCAGAAAATTAGAATATAACATGCAATCAATAAAACAAGGATTGTACATAGAACAATATCGGACCTCTGAAAAGTATAAGCATGCATATGTACTCAGTACTTGGTTGGGGCCCCTTTTGCAGCAATTACTGCCTCAATGCGGCGTGGCATGGAAGCTATCAGCCTGTAGCACTGCTGAGGTGTTATGGAAGACCAGGATGCTTCAATAGCGGCCTTCAGCTCTTCTGCATTGTTCGGTCTCATGTCTCTCATATTTCTGTTGGCAATGCCCCATAGATTCTCTATGGGGGTCAGGCGAGTTTGCTGGCCAATGAAGCACAGTAATCCCACGGTCATTGAACCAGGTTTTGGTGCTTTTGGCAATGTGGGCAGGTACCAAGTCCTGCTGGGAAATGAAGTCAGCATCACCCATAAATCTTGTCTGTGAAGGAAGCATGAAGTGCTCCAAAATCTCCTGGTAGATGGCTGCGTTGACCCTGGACTTAATGAAGCACAGTGGACCAACACCAGCAGATGACATGGCTCCCCAAATCAACACAGACTGTGGAAACTTCACACTGGACTTCAAGCATCTTGCAGTGTGTGCCTCTCCATTCTTCCTCCAGACTCTGGGTCCTTGGTTTCCAAATGAGATGCAAAAGTTGCTCTCATCAGAAAAGAGGACTTTGGACCACTGAGCAACAGACCAGGTCTGTTTTTCTTTAGCCCAGATAAGACGCTTCTGACGTTGTTTATTGTTCAGGAGCGGCTTGACAACTGGAATACGACATTTGAAGCCCATGTCCAGGATCCGTCTGTGTGTGGTGGCTCTTGATGCACTGACTCTAGCCTCAGTCCACTCCTTGTAAAAGTCCCCAACACTTTTGAATGGCTTTTTCCTGACAATCCTCTCCAGACTGCAATCATCTCTGCTGCTTGTGCACCTTTTTCTTCCACACTTTTCCCTTCCACATAACTTTCTTTTAATGTGCTTTGATACAGCACATTGGGAACATCCAACTTCTTTTGCAATTACCTTTTGAGGCTTTCCCTCCTTATGGAAGGTGTCAATGATGGTTTTCTGCACAACTGTCAGGTCAGCAGTCTTTCCCATGATTGTGATTCCTACTGAACCTGACTGAGAGATCATTTAAAGGCTCAGGAACCCTTTGCAGGTGTTATGGCTTAATTAGCTGATTAGAGTGGGACACTTTGAGCCTAGAATATTGAACCTTTTCACAATATTCTAATTTTCTGAGATTGTGGATTTGGGGTTTTCATGAGCTGTAAGCCATAATCATCACAATTATGACAAATCACGACTTGAACTATCTTGCTTTGCATGCAATGAGTCTATCTCATATATTAGGTTCACCTTTTAAGTTGCATTACTGAAATAAATGAACTTTTGCACAATATTCTAATTTTTCGAGTTTCACCTTTATATAATGCCAGAAGGCATTAGCACATGTAATACACTTTTAATAAATAATTCTGACCTTTGAACTGAATTATAACTTAAGGAAAGCTGATTGTTCTGAACAAGAGCTGATTCTTCTCAGTGGTATGAGAATTGATCTTCAATAACACATCAAGTTCAGGCTTAATTCAATTTGCTGGCAATTGGAATAGACTTACTTACACAAAGAATCCCAAGAGTCCTTCTTCTTTCCAAATTGTCTTGACTGAACTAAATATATTGCTGTTGACAAAGGAGAACCATTAGACCTGGGCCAAAGTGCTCTCTCACATCTCTTCAGCCTAAAGTATATTATCACATTGCTGCCATTGTTGTTCAATAATAGGAAAAGAAACATCTATATTTCTTAGAAATAATTATTGATATATTGATAAAATATTTTTATTACTACTGCCCAGTGCAATACTATAAAACCCTTTGTTATTATTCTGAGATTGAGTTATAGAATGTTAAGAAGATCTCACCTGTACTTAACTTCTCGTCCTACGAACTGGACCATACAGCGCATAGATATTACTTCAGAAGAAAAAACAAGAGATATGAATATAGAAGTAGTTCACTTACGTATTTTTATACTGAGAAAATATCTCAACATTGACTGACTCATAATACCAAAAGGAGTTTCAACTGAAACATTCTACAGGCCACTGGAATTTAGAATTCCCAGGATTCCCACAGTGATGGATCAGATGGCTATTGGAAACCTAAAACAATTATCTGCAAAAGTAGTATCAATGGCTTGTATTCCCAGTGACCTGGAATTCAGAGCCTTATTTCTTTTGATATTAAAAGTATGATATTTATAGATATGAAGATGACTCTGAATTTAAGGACATTTTACCACAGGAAAAGTAGATAGGAACAAAATATATACCAACAGACAAACATCCTGGGAAATGCCTAACTTTTTCATCTTGCCAATCTAGAATTGTCAATTCCAGATGAACCCAGTCTGAAAATGCCTCCTCAGTAAATGTGTGCCAATAAAACACTTTTGTGCACATACTTGTATACTTGTATATAATCCTGATAGGAACCACACTCCAATATAGGCCAGGGCCCAAAGCAACAAATTTTAATAACTTATTATAGTATTGTCCATAATGCAAGACATCCAATTATAAAATCAGTATGTTTCCCACCTGCATATACAACTATTATACACTCAAACTCCTTTCAGAAACACACACCTACAAACTTACACACCTCCTTACTTCCAGTAAAAACAGAAAAACAGGAGGGATATGAACAAGAAGGGAAGGGGAATAGCACCAGGAAGGTGGAAGTTAAGTGGACAGAGAAAGAAAGAAGAGAAGGCAAAGTTTTAAAAATAAATATATCAGGCAAAAAAGATCTTTTTGAAAGCTCGGACTAATCTTCAGACTAATTTTCAAGGCATATACACTTTTCGAAAGAAACATCTAGTTATTTGTATGTCCTGCCAATTCCTTTGTTTTCAATAGTTCTACTCAGTTGATTAGTATGGTGGGGTGGGTGTCTTATTAGGTAAATATGGTAATATATGGATAATATAACCAAAAGTGTGCAAAGTCTTCTCAGAGCAAAAGATTCTGTTGCTGAAACACCTCATTTTGACTTCATCAGAAATGATCCCACCTCAAAATAGATCATTTTGAATGAAAAGTAGAGGTAGGCTAAATTCATTTCAAGTCCAAATCATTTATGTTCAAGTTGAGTACGTTTCAGGTTGAAACATTTTGCACATCACTATCCCTGACAAATAACTACTCAGAATCAACTGCAAATTGGTCATAGTAAAGTGACATAATGTGCAGATACTTGTGTAAATAAAATAAATTTAAATTATGAATTTTATAATTTTATAGGAAAAAACACCACAAAATGAATGTTTAAGTGGATATGGGACTTGACAAGAGCAGATTCCATAGCTCACCATGAAGTGGGTGAGAAATAATTCGGGATACACATTGCATCATCATCTCATGGCAAGTCTGATAAAATATAAAAATAGAGCACTTTTTTTATCTTAAGCAAATCATCTCACAATCAGTACACCATAATGGGAAATTTGTTAAATATCTTAGTTTCCTTATTTGAAAAAAAAGTATTTGCTGGATTACACGGAACATAGTAATATAGTTTCTATGCTATTCTAAGTCATTCTGTTTTACACTATAGATCTATAGGACTATCACATACTGTATATTATTCAGATACAGGTAGTCCTTGAGTTACGATGGTAACCAGGACCAGAATTTACGTTGCTAAGCAATATGGTCATAAAGCTTGACCTCATGTGATACTTAGTGCCATTGCTTTGTAACCACAATCCCAGCACTTCTCTTTTGCAGTCATTAACCAAATTCCACCAATCGTAAGCGGAGGGCCCATCCCAATCCAAGCCATTCCTGGCTTGATCTCTCTCAGCTCTGAGCCCCTGGTAAGAGACTGCATACCTTTCTACTCCCTTCAACTGTCCATTAAGCCTTTTTGGCCACCCTGCACCCTGTCTCCTGGGATGGAAAATAGTCCCAGAACTGCACAGCTCAGGAGCTTCTTGGCACACCATGGCTCTAGGGCTGCAAGAAGCCTCTGAACTGTAAAGCGGTGCAAAGCTGCAGCTGCCCCAGCTCGGGCCAGCAGTAAGTGCAAAGCTATAGCTGCCCAGGAAGCCAGAGCTGCCCCAGCCTGGTTCAGAAATGCAACCAAAGCCCCAGCCGCCCCAGAAAATCCCAGCCCAATCCTAGCAGGCCTTGGCTTACTGCAAGGCCTCTGCTGCTCTGCACTCCCCCACCCAGGTGTTCCTTTGCTATTGTTTTGTTTTCACTGCCAATGCAGTCTGCTTGGCCTAGCCTTTTGTGAGGCAAGTAATGGTCATGTGAGCCCTTCTTCTCCAGGTTTCACACAAAGAAACGGCTGCACAGGATCTTGGGAAGAAAGTCTCATGCAACCAGCAGCTGTCAAGCAAAAGGGTGAGGTTGGGAGTGCTTGGGTTAGCAGCAGGAGTAGCAAGACAGAGATCAGCTGGGCAGTGGAACACAGGATGGCTGGGGTTGCTAAGTACAGGGGGCCAAAAGGGCACATAAGAAAGGGGCAGGGGTGGGAGTTGTATCATCCATATAGTGGTAAGTGCAAATGTGCTGCCAAGTGCCTGAATTTTGATCGTACGCTAAGAGTAGCATTGCAATGGTGGTAACTTTGAGGACTGAGCGTAAGTACTATTTATTCAGCCCCATAATTTTGAACAGTCATTTAAGGAGTGATCATAACTTCAGGACTACCTGTAAAAAGAGGCAGCAAAGATGATAAAGAGAACCCCAAAGTACCCATGCAGCAAACACGTGGTGAGGTAAGTTGAAAGAGAAAAAATAAATCAAGCTATATAAGTTTGAGAGATACTTCAGTTTTACTCAGTGTACTACAGGAATTTTTGAAAGTGTTAGTTCATTTTTAAACTTCCTGAACACTAAAAGATTGGCCCCACTTTTAGTAGCCCCAAGATTGTATATATTAAAAATAATCAGAGGAAACCATGTTAACAATTTTAGTATTTAGCATTAGAATAGATTAGCAGGAGAAATCTTAGCATCCTTAAATTTATACTATTTATATAGTCTTTCCCACCTCACAAGGCTCTGAGACATTTTTTCAAATTGGGCTTAATCACACTGGAAAAGAAAAGATTTGAGGATTCAACATTCATGTCAATCATAATTATTCTTTGAAATATATAGTCTTTCCAAATATAACATATTTGAGCAATGAAAATTTGCTTTAAAGTTCCACCTCTTTTGTCACTTTCCTGAGAGATGTCTTCATATCATCCTTATTGGAAACATGCTCCATATCTTCTAGAGGGAAGGCCTGAGGTATAACAGAGAAAGTAAACTCAGGAGACCTGATTATGATAAACAAATAGTATTTGACATATGAGATTTTTCTAACAATGATACTCCCAAGATTTGAATAGAAGAGAGGTTATTATATCTGTACTTTACTTCTCCTCTAAGAAATTGGAGTGTGCATGGGGTGATTATTTTACTATATATTCATTGTATTCATTGTATAGTAAAATAATCATTTTACTATACATTCATTGTTTTGTTGTAACCTGTACTTGGACTAATGTGATAATCCAATATACAGAAAGTCATCAACTTATGGCAATTGGGACTGGAATCTCACACTGAGTGAAGCAGTTATTAAGCGAGGTGCCTATATGACCACTTTGTTCAATGACCACAATCCTGGCTCTCCCAGATGCAGTTGTTAAGCAGTCACACTGGTTGTTAAGCAGACAGACTGAAAGAGTTTCCTGCCAAAGGGGGTTCTTCAGGATTGAAGCTTCATTTCTGTAGACCATTGCAGTATTTCCCCCCCCCCTCCATGTAAAGAAGAGAACTAGGGTGTGAACTGCAGAAAAAAAAAATAGATCCCCAAAATCTAAGGTTCATTTCTGCAGCCCACCACAAGATTTCTTCTCCCCACCAAGCACCCTTTCTGAGGCCACTGTACTTTCAAACTTTTGTTAAATGACCAGTTGTAAGTCAAGGACTACCTGGAGTATGGAGTGAGGACTTTAACCCAAAGAATCATTCAACTTTGCTTTCTCTTCCAGCCCCCTCCCCGCTCCAGCTTTCCTTCTTTTGAGTCATGGCACTGCTGCATTAACATAGTAATGGAAACACAGATTTCTGAAAATGTTCAGCTCAAAAGCATGCTGGTGCTTTTGAACCACAGCATGGGCAAGCCTACACTTTGGTTGAAGAAATATGAAAGAATTGCTCTTCTAAGCATTGGGCACAATGGAGGGAAACAATAATCTACATAGTTGAATGAGACAGTGCTGAGGTTTTGGAGCTTTGCAAGCAGGCATGGATGGTGGCCAACTTGTCTTGGCAAGAGACAGACCAACCCATCTTCCATTCTTAATGAGGACGTGTCATTAAATAGTAGAAAAGTGAAATTAGCAGTCCTACTGTCAAAGACAGGCCAATGATTGACAAACTAACAGGCCTTCACAGGAAATAAAATGTTACTAAGAAAAGACCAGCACTTTATTATTCTCACAAGGGTAAAGACTTTCAGATAGTCCTAAAGCAACTTGATGGTACCTTAATAAGAAATATAGTTCAGGAAGGCTATCAATATGCAACTGTGGCATAAAATTCTGAGAACTCAGGAAATAGTTCACACCATTAAAAAGAATCCAATATGCTTTAGGTTCCTCTATGAGGTCAGCTACTGCCATTGCTTTTCAAGTTCAACACCTCAGGTTCTAAAAAATATTTCACTATTACTGGTTGGAAGAAGCAGCTTTATTGTACAACAAGAGTTGTTGCTATTGTTGCTGTTGCTGTTTTGAATTTGAATCCCTTCCAAAGTCCAACTAGGCAAATGCAGAAGCTGAGATTTCAACTGTGAGAAAGTGTTGGCCTAGACATTTATTACACAATTTGGCTTCACAAGTAGCCTTTTTAACACAAAGAGATTAGAGAACAAATATGTGACATACTGTACCTTCTTCACTTGTTCTCGGTTTATGGTAGATAAAACGCTAGAGATGATACGAGGAGAAAGACCACGGAAAAGACCCATCTTCCCATCCACTTCCACAATGTGCCTGGCTACAAATAAATTACACTGAAGTTACTTCATCATGATTCAGTTGACTGGGTATCTATATATGATAATGCATGTTAGGATTTAAACTATCCACTGACATTAAGATGGTAAAAGCTGTGAGAAAACCTTGCATTTTCAACTATTTCAACTGTGATCTTAAGAATTACATTGGATTTTATAGTGTTAGGGGAGAGTATGAACATTCCTTTAACTTGTGCTCAGCTATGTTGCCTCCTTCCAACCAAAAGGCTTTAGATTATTATCTAAATAATTTGCAAAAATTTTGGAAGGAATTTTATAAAGTTTAAGGTATTATAAACTTCAGATAGCTAATATGTTATAATGTTGCAATAGCTTACTACTATGCTTGTAAAACTGACTCTACATTTAGCTAACTTGAAAGTAAATTTTGTTCTCTAAATATGTTTATAGGAGAAACTGTTTCATTAGAACAAGTTTACAAAATGATTATAAAATAGTATTAAGAGTTCCATCATGTAGTCAGCAAGCAAAAACGGTATTACCAAAGAATCCTAAATATAAGCTACATTAACTGAATAAAGTTTTATACTGTATATCAACAGCAAATACTAATAAATGCAAATCATTGGGTTTTTTCCTAAAGCAAATTGTACTGTATTTGTGTATTTTCTGTTATGTACTTGTCATAAATGTGTCCCTCCATTTTTAACTGAGATCACATCTCTTCCAAAATAGATTGCTAATCAATATCAATCAGTAAATGCTAATAACTTTTCTCCCAGATAAGTTAATATGACAAAAAGAAGTTAGCTGAATCCTCAACTACTGCAATTATTATGGAAACAAAATCTTTTTATAGAAAATGACTTTTAAAGAAGGAATTTTTTCTTTATGATTAAAAAATGCCCATACATTTAAATGTGTTTGCCTACTCAAAAAGAAAAAAAAAGCTAAATAGAAGTACAAAGTTTTTATGGCTTATTTATCACTAGATTTTTTTTACATATTAAGGATCAAATTGTGAGTTTTGCTCTAAGCATAAGTTCTTCTAAATCAAGAAGAATAAAATGTTTTAGATTATATTGTTATACATCTGAACAATAATAACAAAATCTGATTCCTATTAAAAGCAAGTTTGATTTAATTCAGTGGATACATAGAACTATAGAAAAGTATACTCAACAATCATGTTTGTTGAAAAGGAAAACATCTGAGTTAGCACTGTATTAATATTTTTATTCATTATCTGAGTTGGTTACATTATTTTCATTAGACCTATAGGAAAATTTAATCAGGTCATGCTTACCATACGTAAAAAATCCAGGAAGGTATAATACTTTCCTCCCCAGTAAATTTCTCCCAACAGTTGGAGGTAGAGGTTCATGCCCAACCTAAAAAAAATAAATGGAAAAAGTAACACCAGTTTCTTGCAAATATCTCCATCCCAGTGAACTTTATCCATAGCTTTAGAGCTCAGATAGGGGCCACTCCTTGTTGCTCTCAACCCCTACTCTATTTGCTTCATTTTTTAAAATTTCAACCACTGTTGACTCCTAGTGACTGTGTGAACTAATAATCCCTGTACTTTTCTTGCAAGGTTTTCAGAAGTGGTTTACGATGGCCATCTTCCCAGGGCTGAGAGAGTGACTGACCCAAAGTCATCCAGTTAAATTCATGTGTCTAAGGCAGGGATAGAACTCATGGTCTCCAAGTTTCTAGCCTGATGTGCATGCATGTATGCACACACTTTATTTATAGACCCAAAACACTCGTACTTCTTTTGTGGGTTATTTTTTGTGCTAAGTGGTATACTGAAGTCTAGACACTTTGGGAAAACACATTCTAGTTCTCTCCTTTGCATTGAATTAAATTTTTCTGAACCAAAACACGTTATTAAATATGCTTGAGAAGACTCAACAGTAGAAAATAATCTCTGAGGTTCCAAAGGCAGGGATGCCTATTGCTGTTATCTCATTGTTATTTGAAGCACTTAATCAAAAGCAAAAGGATCATACTGCTGGGAAGGAAAGCCAGCAGTAAATCTTAGGGCTCTGGAGGTGAAAGTGGCAATAAAACATCAGAAGAAAGCCATGGCAAACTACTTCACATCTTCCACCCTCCCACCCCAAATTTCAGTAACAAATCTGTTAGGATCTATTAATCTATTAATCCTCTCATCTTTTTAAAAAAGACTTTTTGGAAGCAACTAGTCGAAGGAGCCAAATTCCTTTATGGTATATGCACCAAAGAGGAGCTGTAGGGAAATCGGCACCGTTTTCGCAAAGCCAGCCCTTCATAATGGATCACCCACAGACCCGAGGAGCAAAAAGCTAAGCACCCATTAAGAAGTCTTTGAATGGTGTGGGAGTAGGAATGGATTTCCAGAAGAAAAATGGCAGATTGCAGGAACCAGGAACACTACCCAGGTTACTCTGAGGACACAGATAAACCTCCAGGTGCTTGAAGGACCCTCTAAAAGGATGCAAATGACCAGCTGTCTGCAAGGAATGGGAAACCCTTCCATTCTCCCCCATTCTGTCAGAGCTGAAGAAGCTTCTTGGATGAGAAGCAAAACGTCTTCAAAGCAAAAAACCAAGCAAGTCCAATTGCCTCCTGAAAAAGGGACACCTATCAAGAACTGCCTTCGTGGGGCGTCTCGGACCTCAACGGTCGCCCCTCACCTATCAAGGCTGCAAATCCACAGGTCCCCACACCCCGAGCAAGACATCTCCTTCCCTCCGAAACCTGCATTGGAGGATTGGCCCCCAAGCCGCACCTGCACCAGAAGCTTCACGTAGAGCAGCGGGTGGCTGAGGACCGTGAAACCAGCGCTCAGGGCGACGAAAAGAGCGTCCGCGCCTTCTGCCGGACCGGGTCCCATTCTCGGTCCGACGGCGGGAGTAATCCCAGGACCCACAGGAATGTCAGCCATCTCCCCCCCACCCCCGCCCGCATCCAACCAGGAAGCGCTCTCCCGCGTTCACATGACCAGACCCTTTCGCGTCATCGCGTCCCTCGAAGCAAAGGCCCTATGGCAAGGAGCAGTTGGCTTAGCCCGCCTCCCACATAGAGACAAAAATACATGTAGAAAGGTGCCTGGCAAATCGGAACACGAAACGAGGGTACAACTATCGCGTTTCCCTCCTATTGACGGGACAAGGGAAAGATCGTGTCGCTGATCTCGCAGGAGCGAGGGCGACTATGGGATCTTTCTGCTATATTTACTCAACTGACAAGGAAGCGTAATCTCATTTTATCCTTCCTCACAGACCCCGCCCCCTGGGCGGATTTCTCCATAGCAAAAAGGAGGGGGAAAAAAATCCCTGCAGTATCTCCATTTTCGCGCGTCTCTCCTCTGAGGGCAGCATCAGAGAGAGGAATTCGTATCTTCTGATGCATTTGACTCGTATTTGGCCTCGGCGAGCATTTATATTATTTTATTTTTGCATGAAAGTGATTTTTTTTCATGCCCTCCTGGTGCAAACCGAAGCCACATAGCAACGCCGAATGATTGGCGTGGCGCCCCCAGTCCCCCGTGCAAAAATTCCCCTGCGATTGTTCCATAGGTGCTTTTTTTTTTCCCCAGAAGACAACTGGACTTGGTGTTTTTTTTCTTTGAAGACGTTTCGCTTCTCATCCTAGAAGCTTCCTCGGCTCTGACTGCATGGTGGAGAGTGGAAGGATTTCTATTCCTTGCAGGCAGCTGGTCATTTGTATTATTTTAGAGAGTCGTTGAAGCCACTTCTTGGATTAAAAGTGAAATGTCTTCAAAGAAAAAAAACAAGAAAGTCCAGTTGCCTCCTGATAAAGCACCTTTGGGACAACCAAGTTTTGGATCGGGTTCTCCAACCTTGGCAACTTTAAGCCTGGCGGACTTCAACTCCCAGAATTCCACAGCCATCAAAGTTGGCTGGGGAATTCTGGGAGTTAAAGTCCGCCAGGCTTAAAGTTGCCAAGGTTGGAGAACCCTGATCTGGATGACTGAGAATCTCCATAGACTTTCCGCTTCGGTTCTGACAAAATCCAGTCTCGCGACTTGACCTCGTCCCCCATTTCGCACAAGCCCGGCACTGGCTGATCTCGGAAGCTGATCGCGGTTAGGACTGGCTGGAGAGAGAGAGCCCGCTTCCATTGCAGCGAGGAGGCATAAAACACACTGATCCGTTATAAAGAAGAAGCCGAGGAGGAAGCCATTTCTTGCCTGGATAATGGTTCGAAGCGATCAGTGGGACGTCTGAATGCGTTTCGCCCTGCTGTTTCCATTGGCTCTGAACACTTGAACTGAAGTTCTTCGCTGCGGTCCTGTTTCGCCGCCTGACAACAAATCTCTGAAACTTTAGCCGCCTGGCGGTCTTTCGAATAACTCAGCTAAATTTGAACCCGCCCTTTCTCTACATTTGTCGGAGGGTTCCTTGATGCCCTCTGAGTTTGCTTGTTTTCTTGCAAACGTTTCATTACCCTAACTAGGTTACATCATCTAGCACTGATGATGTTACCTAGTTTGGTTAAGGAAACGTCTGCAAGAAAACAAGCAAACTCAGAGAGCACCAAGGACCCTTCATTTCAACCCTGAGCTACAAATATTATCCTTTGTTGATACTTCATTTCTCTGGGTGGCATAGTTGAGTTTTTGTAGGAGATGTTAGTTGAGACCATTATGACTCGAGAAAAAAAGACTAGCAGCAAAACCCATTTATTTCTCTCAAGTACAGGTAGTCCTCGACTTAAAACACTTCATTTGATGACCATTCGAAGTTACAAGGGCAATGAAAAAAGTGACTTATGCCTTATTTTTCACACTTATGACCTTTGCAGCATCCCCATGGTCATGTGATTTATATTCGGATGCTTGACAACTGATTCATATTTATGACAGTTGCAGTGTCCATGTGATCAACTTTTGTCACCTGACAAGCAAAGTCAATGGGAAAGCCCAATTCACTTAACAACAGTTGTTGCTAATTTAACTGCAGTGGTTCATTTAACAAATGTGGCAAGTAAAGTTGTAAAATGGGGCAAAACTCACTTAAATTTCCTACTTAGCAATAGAAATTTTGGCCTCGATTGTGATCATATTTTGAGGACTACCTGGACCCTTTCTTTTAGTTTCTTAAAATGTCCTAGAACAGCTGAGGCTCCTTCAAAACCTTCTCAGATCTGCAAAATCAAAATTATTTGTCAGATATTAAAGGCATCCGCAAATAAATAAACAAAACTTTTCTCCTTTTTGTTAAAAAATATTAGTTTTTTTTCATAAAAATACTTATGTGAGTAGCTAGTGGGTTTAATAGTGTTACTTTTATATAATTCAATAAATAAATATTCTACCAATACATCAGTTTACTTTTTAATACATTTTTAATATACAGACACAAGCTCTTTTAGAGTCTTCCATAATTTTTAAAAGTGGGAAGGGGTCTTGAGAGCAAAAAAAATGGTAAGAATTAATGTTTTAAAGTATTAAGACAGTATGTCAAAATGTTAATCTTTGACCTAGACACCCTAGATTGATTCCTGGAAGGACATCTGTGAAAAGTGATTGTGTTTAACAATATAGAGACCTAGATATTTTTTTACACCTTCCCATTGCTTCCCGATTTAAGATTCTTGTTTGAAATATTGTTAGGATGGGCGTACATTGTTTACTGTGTGAGCTGTGAGGCCAGTCATAAATTAGAACACTTGCTAAACAACCGGTCATTAAGTGAGGACCACTTGTATTTGGTTTGCCGGTCACCTGGCCATGCCCACCCAGTCACATGACCACCAAACTACACCTACCCGGTCATGTGACCACCAAGCCACACCCAGCCAGCAAGCCATGCCAGCCAGTCACTTGACCAGCAAGCCACACCCACCCAGTCCCATGACCAGCAAGCCATGCCCACCCAGTCACGTGACCAGCAAGCCACTCTCTCAAATTAGGCCACACCCTCAAAAATTTGAATCCCACCCCTTGGTTGGGGGCACCAAGGATGAGTTTGTAGCACCAAGGGGTCAGTGGACTGAAAAAGTTTGGGAACCACTGAATTAGAGTATACCTTGTACTACATTCCTATGACATACCACTAATTTTAATTCCAGATTTTTTTAGTGTTTCTTATGAGTAGCTTCATTCTAAAAAGAAAATCTGTTGTGTCAAAAGTACTCATGCGGTTCTGTTAGTAGACAATTCAACAGTTACTGAATTGTCTATTCAGGTTATCATGCAAACAATATACATATCCTGAAATACTCATATGATGCACCTCAGTGTTTGAAAGATTTAAATTTTCATATCAAATCAGTGTCTGGATTTAAAAGATAAACTGCAAAACCCTATAAAAACCTATTTAATATTTAGGCAAGTACAATTAATTCTGTAACATGGTTTGCCCCAGGCAAGCTCCTTTTTTCCTGTCTCTTCTGATAGCATTGGATTTTATATAATTTTGACAAATAAATAAATGAAGCTTAATAATATAACAGAACCATATTTCATTGAATCAAGAGTATATGAATAGAAAAGTTAAATGCATTATAATTAAAACAAATTATATTTTGTGAAGCTCTGCATTTTGATCCTTTCACTTACAGTTTTGCCCTCAGTACTTCCTCAAAAGCTTCCTGTTTATAGGATGTAATTTACAAGAAGCTTTTCTTGTTTCCCAGAGAAAGAGACAATTTGTAGATTGTTCATTTGGTTATATAGTCCTATTAGTTTTCTTAATGCAGCTATTTCTCAGAAAAGTTCCAAGTAAGAGATCATAAAGAAGAATAAGAATGATGGAGGAGAAACAGAAGCTTCCAGAATCCTCAGTGGTCAACCTGGTGCATATATTTGAAAACTTCAGGTACAAGGGATTTGGGGAACTGTTGTAAGGTCATGGTTGAAGGCCAGATGAACAGGAAAGAGCTTAAATAGTGGAGGACTAAAATATAGGATTTATTATATTACCACTTGGGAGAAAATGCTTTGGTCAGAAAATTGTGGCTACACAAATCTAATTTTCCTTTTTGGAAAAGTGATAAGGACTATTTTTTCCTTGGTGCTTTAAACCATGGAGAATAGACCTGCATAAAAGTTATTTGACAACTTTGTATTTAGTCTTTTTATTCCGATTCTTTGCCCAGATTCTTTGAATATCCAAAAGAGAGAGAGAAAGAGAGAGAGAGAGAGAGAAAGAGAGAGAGAGAGAGAGAGAGAGAAGAGGTTCAGGGACAACAACTGTAATGCTGTGCAGGAACAATGGGATAGCAAATATAATTCCTTTGCTACCATCTATTGGTTGTCTGGAGTTTTGTAGACTAGATCTGGTATTTTGGTCAAATTGATTTCTGAAATTTTATTATATAACTTAGGAGTCCCCATTTTTACGTATCTGGTTTGGCTGCTCTGGAGCCCTCTGAGTACAGTTCTCTTGTTGACTGTGAACTGTGGTTTTGCTCTTTAAAGTGAAACTTTGGTCAAAAGAAATAATTACTGACTTTTGGAAAAGTTGAGGAAGCTTAAGTATGTTATGAAGATTGTGAAACAGAAAAGAGGATGTAGTCCTTGATAGTTAACACTCAATTTGGTAAAAGAAATGCAGTTTATTTTTGCATAGGCTGATCTTACATATAAGAGACATGAACAGAAAAACTGATGACTACATAGAAAGGAAGAAAGAGAGAGAGCAGAGTGCTTTTCTGAGGATCCTCCATCCCATATCTATTCTTTCATATTGTAAGGTTGCATTGGGAATCAGTTGGATTCATTTTTATGATATTTAGCTACATTCCTTCTTTTATTCAGACGTAAGTACATGGCATCAAGTACAACTTATTTCTAAACTGGATAATGCTTCACTAAACTTGATGAGACTTTTGTGTAGAGAGTATAGTACTTTGTACTAAGGTAAACATTTTTGGAATTAAAAATCAATATTATTAACTGCAAAAATGACATAATTTCAAATGTAGATATTTATGAAATTACAAGTCGAA